TTGGAGCAACCTGGTCTAGTGGAAGGTGTCCCTGCCCATGGCAGGGGGGTTGGAACTAGAAGATCTTTAAGGTCCCTTCCAACCCAAACCATTCTATGAATTCTTGCCAGGCAGTGCATTGCAAATATGGACACTTAGGTTCTGACCATAGGGAAGAAACCAGTCCAAGACTAAGGCCCTGTCACAATCTATTCTTCTTGGAGGCAACCCACGTAAGAATCAATGTCATGGAGGCCTCATGACCTTTCTCATGCATCATCCAACTTAAGTTATCAGAGGCTCATGTGTCAAATCTCCCATATAAGGGATTTGCTCTTTATCTTTGCTCAAAATCATTTCAGGAAGTCTTAGATGTCAAATTTTCTGCCCTTATTGTAGTTCCAGGATTAATGTGAATCGATATTTCTATGCATGGCTGGTTTTATGAAGGAGACTGTTCCTCAGGAGAGTGTTGTTCTTATAGTTCAAGCAATTTGAAACTGTATCCTTAACCTAAGAACAATACTTGCCTGTTATTGCCTGTCTGTCTCATTTAGAGTCATTTAATTTCCTGTTCTTCTAGTCATATGGTTCAGATTGCAGCAACTAAGAGAAGAATTATCTTTTGGAGAAAATAGAAGTAGTATCTTGTGTTTCTGTGTTGCACATGCATGGGAACAGCATGCACAGTGCCCTCGTTTCTAGTTAGAGATTTCTTATCTTGGTTATACAGACATTGAGTTAAAGGGAGTCTCCCTAAAACTGGGCTAACACTCTTGCTTTTAGGAGGAATACAAGTTGGAGGAGGGATAAAGCAGAAGAGAATGGATAAAGTAAACCCTTATATAGTGGTTTTCCAGGAGCACAACTGCTGTGATGCAGGAATAGCAGGAATATCCCTTTCCAGAGCTCCTCTCTAGGAGCTGCTTTCTGAATTTTAAAGTTTTCTTTTTCTTTCTGCTGTTTCTTTAGCTTATTGTCCTGGCTGCCCTATCAGTGTTGGGTAATGAGAAGAATTGGTCACTTACCTCTTTATAATGGCCCTTTACATCTTTGTTGGCATGTACTGTGTATCCCCCTGCACTCACCTTTTGTCAGGGTGCAGGCTTCTTAATCTTTCTTCATGTAGATCTTTGTTTCCAAAACCATTTTTTTTTCCCTCTTTCCATTACTGTCCCCTAAGTGCCATCAGTTTATCCTGCTTCTTTTGCAAAGATGAAGACTCTCAAGGCTGCCAGCTAGCTAAAGAACAAAACCACAGCTAGCTTTTGACATTCTGACCAAAGGCCGTGATCTGCTCATTGCCAGAGCTGGGTCTACCATGTGCTAAGTCATTGCCATGCTAGATAAAGCTGTGGACAGTGTTATCGTGTGGCCATGCTGTAATTATATTTGGTTGCCCTGTGCTGTGGCCTTGCCGTATCCCACAGTAACACCCTTCCTCTGCAATGCAGCAGTAGCGTGGTGTGGTGGGGAGGAACAACATGACACTACATCTGTACTGCTGAGTAACGTTGCCACGGCATGGTCAGCACACAACAGACCATGCTGCTTCCACACTGCAGCCTAATGCTCTTCCCTTGGTATTGCTGTAACTCTTCATGAGTGCTGTCATGTATGTGACAAATAAGAGGATCTGCCAGCTAATTCCTTTGCCTTGAATAAAAATCCTGGCTACATTGGTCATAGATAATCCATATTGAAGAGTCATTAAATAATCACAATGTCATTCCATAACAAATCATCATTTCATTTCACATCACGTGGCACTGTAATAGGAAGTTTCTTAGTCCCATAAGTTATTCTAGAACCTTTAAAGGATGCACAGTACCTCTTAAAAAGGGACAGATGCAAAGGTGGCAGACATATGAGTTCTGCTCTGAATTCCCCTCACAGCATGTGGAATTAAGGGCAATGTCGCAGCAAAACCACTTATCTTTCCCCAGGTTTTCTTCTGAAATTTCAGTCTTGATAAGATTTTATTTAAAACGGAACTTGTTTTGAATTTAATATTTTGAAAGCTAAGCAGAGCTCTGAATGTGAAATCAGAGTTGGTTACATTCCTGTGACCTGTTGCCGTCTGCTGCCTGCGAATAAAGATTATGCATTAAGTGTCAAGCAACCTTCCCATAACGTTCGTAAGGGATGAATATTGTTGGGAAGGCATCTGCAGGGTGAAGCACAGTGAGTAGAAAGGCCATACTTTTAGCTGGTGTAAGTCAGCACAAGTCAGTTGGGAAAATCCAGATTTACTCCAGGTGAATATGTGGCGTAATGCTGTTTTCACCACCGGAGCTGGAAAGGCAGACGACGTTTTCATAATTTGGTTGGAAGGGCAGAGATTTAAGTGATGATTTAAGGTTGCTTATGATGGGAATAATAGCAAAATCCATCAGGATGTCTGGACTCAGGAGAAAGTTGAATGGTTCCCCATATGGAGACACACCGAGCAGGGTGCTGGGAAGGACTCACTGAGTCCAGCGAGAGGACAGCAGGAGTTCTGAAGGGAGCCCACTATAGTTATGGATCATTGCATCTGTGCTCTGGATAGCAGACAGACCGAAGCAGTGCCTTGTTAAAGCAGAGTGCCTGCATATTTTTTTAAGCAGGTTTTGAAGCCAGCAGATTGAAATCTAACCATATGCTAAAGGCAAAAAGTGCTGGATTCATAGTTTACCTCCTCAGCAGCATCCCTTATAACCCCAAACCCACATAGAAGTCTTGGCTCCAGGCCCAAATCACTGACAATCTGACGTTGGAGCCCTTTTCAAGAATGGAAAACCCATCCAGATTTAGATGGCTGGTTCAGACCTGTACTTAGAGGTTGATTCCATTCTCAGATGTGATTGCCAGGTTTCTTGTTTCCATGTTGGTGGTAGTAACGTACACATATGTGTGTATTAAGAATACACTGGGAGACCAGATAATTCCAGGAAGCAGAGCTGTCTGGTACAGACCTTTTCTAGCAGCATCTATTGATTTTGCTGGTTTCCAGCAATCACCGTTGCAGGTTGCTACTAGAACAACTTAATTTACCAAGCCAAGCATCAGGCATGTTGTGTTTGCTGATACCTGCGTGGAAGACACATCTAGAGTGGCAAGTTACGGAGCAAGTCTTATCTTTCTGTTTGTCTTTCATACCTCTGATTTTTTCACTGCACTTACTGCTTTGCCACTTTTATTAATGCCCCACTGCAAATGATAGCAGAGAGAGATTTCAGTAGCATGAGACAGATTTCAGATGGCTGAGGAAGAAGTGGAATAAAAACTACTGTTTAGGAGTTGTTTGGTTGAGGGCTGTCTGGCTGATGCTTTTTTTTTAATTTTTTAATACTTTGAAATTATAGCTCATATTGGACATTAAAGAAAATTCAGTTTGTCATCCTGTATAAAACTGCAAGGTGTCAGCTTATGTCATGGCCCTTAACTTACATGGAAGCCTCATAATGTTTGTTTTAATTTAACAAAGGTATATTCCATTTACCTGGTCCCTTAGGTAAATTACATTGCTTAATAATAACACTAAGGAACACATCTGAGTCTGGGCAGGTTGCAGAAGGATTTGCACTCAGAGTATCACTATGACTATAAAAATAATCTGTCACTTCAGTATGTGGTCATTACAGCAGAACTGGTGTAACAATCCTTGAAAAACTCTTAACTGAAGCCAGGGCGTTACATCCTGATGGCCATACCCGTGTCCAAGCTCCAGCTTTGTTCAGGTAAAACTCTCACTCAGCTCTGTGAGAGCAGTACCTGGATAACCAGCAAGTAAACATTATTAAAAACTTGATCATATATCAGAAAATGGTAAGCAAGCCCCATGTAAGTACTATAAAACGTGTGTCACAATATCTGTCCTGTTATTTATTGTGTTGCCTGTATTTGTTTGTTAGTGTATAGGTTAAGGGTTTCTATCTTGAAGTTCAACTTGTTAGTCAGTCTGTGCATAGGTCTACTTGTATTTTTTAGATAAAAGCCCACAGAGCAACTCTCCAAATACTCTTGGTGCATGAGTGCTGCCAAATATATAGGGTGACAGGCAGCTTAAAATCTCCATAGCAAGCCATTAGAATTTCTTTTGACCGTTTTTTGGACAGAGAGCTGAATGACTAAACAGCCCATGGAAATAGAGCTGCTTTCCCATTTCTAGAGCCATCATTCGTAGAAAAAGTGGAACTTCATGTGGCAGTACTTGCATTGCAGAAAACTGTTTTGTCCAGTTTTCTGTCTTGTGAATTAAGAAATGGCTTGTATCTTCAGTTATTTTCACCCAGCGTCTCCACCCAAGAATAAAGTTATTTCAATAATTGTTGAATATAGACACCAGTGCAGGTGTTTTACGGAACATTCAAGAAAGCAGAAAAATGTTCTGTTTACAAGAAATGTGAGTCAGTTGTCAGTTCTGATGCTCACTGATGTAGTGCTATAGGGACTATCAGTTGTAGAGTAAGGAAGCAACAGCAAAAGATCAGGCTCCACATCAGCTCTATGCTTGTGTGTTTTAGTCAATTGAAACTGTGACACATGTCCCCATGTTGGTGTCTTCCATGTGCTGTGGAAGTCCAAAGTGTCTGTAACCCAAGTACCGACAGCCATTGTGACAAACCAGTCTGCTGCAACTGTTCCCCTTCCCTTTGGCAACCTACGGTGATTGTATTTTGTCTCTCCTCCTTGGGAAATGCCATCGTTGTGAACTAGTGATGTAGAAGTGGGAAAGGCGTGAAGGGGGGGAGTGAGGTATCTGCATTCTTTCTCCCCACCTCAAGTTTTATGCATGACTGCACCATTGAAAATTAGTCTCTCCCGTAGAAACGTGTGTCACCTGTTTCGGTAGCGCGAGTGTGCAAAGCATCTTCCTGCTTCCCTGTGAAAGGGGCTCAGAAGACGTCTAACTCAAGTATACATTTTCTGAAGAAGTCTTCTGAAGCCCCATGGGATCAGGAGGCTGAATTAGCATCCCACCTGGAAGTGGGTGAGGCTGAAGTGGAGCTGAATTCTCTCTTCCTCTTCCTTGACAGGGCATCCCTTTGGAGCTCCTGCGTGGTCCTACCTCTCCTGGCTCTCACCTGGATGTCTGCAGTTCTGGCAATCACTGATCGGCGGTCAGCACTCTTCCAGATCCTTTTTGCTGTCTTTGACTCATTGGAGGGATTTGTCATTGTTATGGTCCATTGCATCCTAAGGCGGGAGGTGAGACGAATGAATCATTTGCTTTTATATAACCAACAAACTTCCCATAGAACACATCTGAAAAATGTGCAGTCACCCTGGTCGCTTCTCTAATGAACTTCTGCCTTTGTGTAGGCAGTGACCATGACACTGTTGGTCGAGGGTTGAACCAATGGTTGTCATGCTGAGTGTACTGCTGAGTGGAATTTGGAGGAAAGTCTCACATGAACTAACACGGCAGGTTTTTCTTGTTTAACATCTACATTGATTTTTCCAGAATATCTTTCAAAATCATTCCAAAAATGGAATATTAAAAAAAAAAATTCGTCTGATTTCAAGAGGCGCAACTTGTACCAAGGTTTGCAGAATGATTGCACGTTGGCATTAGTGCCTAGATATTCAAGCTAGAACGTAAAGCTAGCAATAATCAAGCAAGGAAATTGAGTAAATTTTCTCCAGCCTCCCTGTGGAGATTTAAAATGGTAAGCTATATCAGGGAAGAAAAGGACAAATCTTTCACGTTTCTTTTATTCTTTTCATCCTACTGAGTGGATAGACTATTAATAACAAAGACAGGAAGGGTTTGGGTTTTTTTCAATATTCATTTTATCTTCTTACAGCTCCTCTAAATTAAGTAAAACAGATTAATTTCTTATGTCAGGCCAGTGAAATCAATGGAATTACACCACTGGCTTGGCTGAGACTCCTTCAGCTAATTGCGTTATGAATATGGGCCTGCATTTAACTCCCATTGCAGTCACTGGCAATTTTTTCCACTGATTTCAGTGCATTTTGGATCATAGGTATATTACAGCTGATGTAGGATTATAGTCAGACGCTGTAGACCTCAGTATAATGATTTATGGAATAGCATTCATTGTAAATACATTGCAAGGTGCAAAATAGAAGAGTTTTTTATTCTTGACTGTATAAATCAGTCAACTAAATTGACCAACATTGTGACGCAGGATACCTGTAAAACTTTTGAGCTGCCCTGTTAGTATGTGATATATATAATAGATAAACCAGTTGAAATGAGTATGTGAATGGTAAAGTAGGATCCATGTTCTTTTGAGATACCAAAGACTTCACTTTTTTTTTGGTCCTCATCAGAAATTAATATGGTTTAGTATTTCTGTCTGACTCAGACTTTTGCAAATCCATTTGTTCCTGCAGGTCCAGGATGCTGTGAAGTGCCGAGTAGTAGATCGACAGGAAGAGGGCAATGGAGACTCAGGGGGATCATTTCAGAATGGACACGCTCAGCTAATGGTAGGGAAAACAAACACCTAGTCTGTTATTAAGGGACCTATGGGAATTTTTAACTCTTACCTGGTAAACAGGGCTCTGTCCATCATAGATTTTTCAGTCAACATTCTTTTTTCCTTGAAACTTTCGGCTGGAACAAATGTAGCACTTAGCATAGACTCTTTCACACAAATCTCTCTTCATTGTAATACGAAGAGGCTCAAACTTATGCAGCACTTTTTGTGTAAGACCTTGGTACGATCCTCTCTTTCCCAGAAAATACAAAGCCAAAATATATCTCTCAGGTGTTCCAGACCTTTTCATCCCCATCATGCTGCCTTGTCCTAGATGGAGGTAGGAGGCGGCACTTTAACACTGTTTCAATCACGGTGTGTTGGGCCATTATTATGTAGATGCTGTCCCAAAGGGGTTTGTTCCTCTCAAAAGCACACTTGTTTACATTGCTTCACTGGGAGTATAGTTTAAGCACTGCAAATCTTGGTCCTGTTGTGTAAGTCCTTTACAAACAGTCTAGATATGACCGTAGAAGGATAAGCTATGGGGAGTCATCTTTCATCTGCTTCAGTGTTATGTTGTAGATCATAAAAAAGGCATTTGGTTTCTGAGGTTGGGGTGAGAACATCAGGACAATCACAAGATTTTAACAAGTTCCAAAATGATCTAGTTAATATCAGAGGTATATCATAACCCAGTAGTGTTTTTTTTAGTCACACCTGTGCTAAGCTAAGTAGCTTGTGCTTGAGTACAGCATCTCATTTCAAACAGCACAATTCTTAAATCAAGGCGTTGAGAAATACACAATTCTACCACACCTCATAGGTGCTTATTAAAAACAGGTGCCTCATTTCTAATTTAAATGCATAATCTTCTCATTTTCAGACTTAGGTTCTTGCTCTGCCTATGTATGTGTAATCATAAAGCCCCCTGCGTGCCTACTACTTTTGCTCGTTCAATAATAGACGCCAAGATCATATCCGGTCTCAATCTTCCTTTCAATAGGTTAACGCACCAAGCTTTTTTATTCTACCTCTGTAAGACATTTCCCTTCGAATATTTTATATGAACCTTTTCCACATCCCCTTCAGACTCCCACCATCCTTTAAAAATGTGGATGCTGTATTTGTTACTCTATTGTCACCATCCCAAGCGCTATATTCTGAATTTTCAGATTTTTGTCTCTCTGTATAACTCTCTTCTTTCATGCATTATCAACCATCTTGCAAAATTCTGTGTCAGCTGCAAGTTTTTAGCAAGGAGATTACATTTACTTCTGCACTGTTGATGGATGTGTTGAGAAGTTGAGAGCTTACAGTCAGTTTCTTCACACTGAAGCACAAAAAGCTCCGGAATCCAGATGTGAATGATGACTCCTCACTGATATTTTTAGAGGAGTACAATGTTACTTTAGAGTGACTGAGTTGTCCTATAACCAAAGAAATCTAAGGCTTTACAGGATGGCATTTTTGCTGCTACCTTTTCCAGTAATCTCCAAATCTGCCCAATAAGTGAAAAGAGGCTTAGCTGAGTAGAACTGTTTCCCACAAAATCTTGTTGACTGGTATTAAATATAAACCTATCATTTATTTATCAGTAGAACTAGTACAGACTGTTCAGTTACATTTTTCTGGAACTCAAGTAATAAAAATGAGATTATATTTTTCTGTGTCATCCCACTTGCCCATTTAAACGTTAGCTCAGTCATATTTCTCCTCTGTTCTTTTCAGATTGATTTGATATCCCAAACATTTTACTAATAAATTATCATCAAGAAGGTTGAGGTAATTCCTCAACCAGCTCTTAAAAAGTTATCGGATCTCAACCTGCTAATACTAAAGTATTTATCCAAGGAAGATGGGAATTTTTTTTCACACCTTCCTTAGTATTAAACTGGAATACATTTAATCACATAAATACAATTGTATCAAGTGTCTTCTTTCTGAAATGATACTGTAAATAACCAGTGAACTCTTCTACCTTTCGCTAGTTTGTGGCTTTTCTATTACTGCATGAAAACTCACGGCCCACTGTGACTCAGTGTATCCAGTTCTTTGAAATGTTATCTGCTAAAAGCTTTAGAAAAAGGATTAACTCATCCTGGGAGAATAAAGGGGTTTAATTTGGCTGTACAGACTGCTTGAGAAAGTTATTCAGCCTTTGTGCCTGCAGGGACCATTGATTTTATATGCTAAGGGTTTCAGAAGTAGAGGCTTGTTTCCACTTCATGTGACTTGGTGATGGATCACAAGAAATCCCAGTGGGTGTGGAGCATTCTCAGTGGTGTCCCCCGATCTTTTAAATGAGTGGAGGGGAATCCACTTAGAACGAACGTGGGAAGAAATATCCAAGGCAAATCAGACCAGGAACATGTCCCCTGTTTTTTAGGAATGTGCGTAAACACGTTCCGGGGAGATACTGTAATAAGTGGAATTAGTTTATGGATGAGCAGATGAATCCAGCCAAAAAGAAATGTTACAGCTTTCCCACTGTATGAGGTTCAAGAGTCACAGCTGGAAAAAAGTGACCTGTTTGACATGTTTCAAAGCTCAAAAAGTACAGCTCTCCTCCAGTCTTCTGGCAGTGGTTGTGTCTGGATCACTAATTCAAGTGTTTTTTGCATTTTCCAAATGGCTTGCTTTCTCCCCCTGCCTCTTTTTGACCATGTCCTCTGTGTTCTCTGTCTTTCAGACCGATTTTGAGAAGGATGTGGATATGGCTTGTAGATCAGGTGAGCACATCACAGGTGAGAATCAACAAGTGACCTGGTTTGGGGATTGAACTAGGCCATTTTTTTTCCTTTCTGTTTTATTTGTGTGTGTCTTAGTGGCTTGCATGTACTTGTGTGGGCTGCCCTTACTCTCAACCCTGACCAAAAGAAATCATCTCCCCTAATTCCCCCTGGGCTTTGCTTGTTCTTTTTCCCCACAGTTCTCTTGGCCTTTTGGCTAAGATTAAACCTTTCCTCTGAGGTATGATTTCTTACCTATGGCTTATGTAATACAGTGGCAAAGAGTATCAAGGAAGAAGAGATTGGATATATCTCTTCCTACTGTGATCCTTCTTTGCTCTAGCAACCCCTGCCCAGGGTGGGTCACACCACTCACACCAACTTCAGACAGCCCTGTGCTCAGGAGAGGTATCTTTGAGAAGGTCTGGAATATGGAGAGCCTTCCCATCACTTCACCTGGTTCCGTACACTCTTCCAGTGCAGTTGTCAGCTGCTTGTACATGTGGAGGTGGATCAGGTCTGACCTCCTTTGTCTGCACCTTTCTGCTGTGTGTTTAATCACACACATTCATTTTGATCCTGAAGGTCTGCATGAGATGAAAATCCCTTTCCCCAGTAATTCCCATTTCTCTCATTCCCCTGGGGGTGTCTATGCTGTCTGGATTCTCCTTTGCTACCTGTTCGTCTCTGAGGTTTTGTCCTCTCTTGGTCCTGGCATGCCTGACCATTTGGCTGGGGGTTTTTCTTACCCTTTGTAGATATTTAGGCTTTCATTTACCCACCCATACTTCTCCCTTCTCCCAAGCAAGAGAAATACCAGCTTGCTTGGCACGTGTGTATAATTCATATCTTCCAAACCAGGATCTCCCTTAGCCAAGGACAATACATACTGTGTGTTCAGTTACCATCATGGGAAAGCTTCCTTCCTTTGTCACTTCCTTCCTTCATTCCTTCCTTCCTTCCTTCCTTCCCTCCTTGCTTCCTTCCTTGCTTCCTTGCTTCCTTCCTTCCTTCCTTCCGTCCTTCCTTCCTGCCTTCCTGCCTTCCTTCCCTCTTGCCTGTCTTCTTTCCTTCCTTCCTTTCTCCCTCCCTCCCTCCCTTCCTTATCTACCTCTCCCTTTCATTTATCTGTTTCTTTATCTAATCTATCATTTATTTGTCTGCTTCTAATGTATTTATCTATAATTCATCTCTTTCTATCTTGCAATCACTTATTTATCTCTGTCCTCAGCTGTCTGTCTTGCTGTACCTGCTATTTATATGTTTCCATCTCTGTCAACATTTATCTCTGTCACTCTGTTTCGGTGTATTGTCTATCACTGTCACTATCATTTATCTATCTAATATCTATCTATATCTTATTTATCCTTTCCTGTCCTTCTCTCCACCTCACTCCCTCTCCCTATGCTTATCACAGTCACAGTATATTTATCTCACTTATCCCTGTGATATCTTATTTCATGGTCTCTTTCTGTCCATTTATCTCTTTTCAGGGTCTGTCCATTTTTTTCTTTCTGTTTCTCTGTCTCACACTCTCTAATCTAATTTCTAGTTGTTTTGCTCTTCTCATTTGTCTTCATTCTTCCTTTTTGACATCAAAGATCTCAGTTCCAAAACATCACGTGCGAAAAACGTTCATGTGAGACCAGGTCTGACTTGAACGCATGCTCAGCAAACATGCATCCAGACTGGGTGTTGGCACCCACAACCAGCTACACAGCCAGCAGCCCACCTTGTGCTGGAAACCAAGGCAGACCCAGCACTCCTACAATCAAGGAGCCTTTCTGGATCTGCAACTAAGTTTCTTGCTCCCAGATTGAGTTTCCCAGAGGAAAGGAAAGAGCTAATTGGTTTCACATGACTTCAGGGCATAAGACCCTGGATCAGCAGCTTGCTAACAGCCTAGCCTTCTTTTCCTTTGCCAGCATACAGCTATACAATTTGTTTGTTGATGTCTGCCTGAAGAAATATTCCTCCTCTGATAAAGTGCTGTGACTCTGCGTTAAGCTAAGTACTTAATAACAGGCCCCATTTCAGACACCTTTCTGTATGGTGCATCATCCCATGCATTCTGCTTATTGAATAATAAAATACAGAAATCTGTTTGTTTCTGGACACCATTTCTCCTGGAGGCACCAGCTCTCGTGTTACAATGGATTGGAGATACACCTCACACCACCCAAAACCTCCTCACTCTAGATTCACTGGGAGGATTTGGTCCGTGGCGCAGTGTTGAAAGCTCAGCCCACTCCATGCTTGGAGGCTGCCAAGTGCAAACCTCTTCCAACCTGCTTTCTGCAGCTGACGTGAGCATGGGGAAGAGTCTAAGGAATAAACCTTACTGACACACCCAAGTGAAGGGTTTGGCTTCAGTAACATCTTCCTGCAGTGTGTGCTTCATAATGCTCTGATTTATCCTAACGTGTCTTCTAGCAATGCCAAGATGACCACGGCTGCTCAGTGTGTTATCTTTTAGGCTTTTTAAAAGTTTTTTTATTCTTGGTATCCTTGTCATCATGCCTTGCTTGCTCTGTAGTCTGAAGGAGGTTTGCTTTTCCAGCACCCATCACTCCCAGTATGAGTTGGTAGAAGAATTAGTGTGTCCTTAGTCCCGTGGGATGCCTATGGCATGTCCTGCCTCTCTCCCAGGTGGAGCAGCTGAACAGTATCAGCTTACCCCAAAAGCTTGTCCATGTCTCTGGTCATTGAGAAAAAAATCGGTTAAAGGACCTTTTTTTTTTAATTTGAAATGGGTTAAAGAGAAACATGCGTTTATTTCTCCTTTCCTGTGCTAAAATACTGGGTAAGTAGCCTTGAGTCCCACACCACTTTGCCCCTGCCCCACAGTCTGTGATTTCCATGCCCTGGAGACATCAGTGTTGATGTCATTATCTTCCTAAGGTCTTTGTTGCAGCCTGAAATCACCTGAGAAATAGATTCTTATGACTAGAAAAGGAGCAGATGTCTTCTTGTGGAGAGCATCGTGTGGGAATGTGTGTCTGTGTGTCCTTTATTTACCTCCTAATTGGCATGTTCACCTTGTCCTCGGCTTAAGGTTTTCTTCTCCTATTGAGGAATATTCACGGCACTCCTTTCTTTCCTCAAGGGAAATTGAGAAACACTAAATAAGTAGCTCTCACAAAGGCTTGGCATGATCACTGGAATGTAAGCTTTTTGAAGAGCAGTTAGAAATTTATAACAAAATGTGTTGTGTTTTAAAATACCAAATTACTGACACTGAAACTGTTCCCGGGAAAAGATCAACCTGCAGCAGTTCAGAGTTTAAAGAAACAAACAAAAATTTATGGTTTAAATCATTCATTATACTCCAGTTCAGCTATTTTCTGAATCAAAGTATTTTTTTATATGAAAGAAATCTTTTATTTTCAAAAAATCTTGTTTTTTATAGGCTAGTATATGTATCACATATGCATATACTAAAAGTACTAAATATATAGACATGTATTTGCTTTTCCAGACACTGTTATTGATGTGATAATACGTGATGGCCTGGTTTGGAGTTTTGGCCACGATTGTGTTGGACAATTTGCAGCGTAAAGAACTCTTTCAAAATGAGAAAGTTGGGGTTTTTTCCTCCCTTGCTTTAGCTTTGCCTTCAGCATCCTGGATATTAAAATAACAAAAAGGTCATAAATCATTTTTTTGCCACTGTAGCCCCTTTCTAGAAGGTCTAACGGAACATGCTAGTATGGTGTGACTGTGGTAGGTGTATTGATGTATTAACAAAAACTTAGGTGAGGTGCTAAGGATACTTGTCTGTCTCCCTAGTGCTGAATAAAGACATCACCACCTGCAGGACCTCAACCATCACAGGAACACTCAAGCGTCCATCACTACCGGATGAAGAGAAATTGAAACTCAACCACCAGAAGGGGTCATCAAACTTTAACAGTCTTCCAGCCAATGTCTCCAAGATGCATCTTCAGGGCTCACCGCACTACCTGGGGGCCATCAACCTGAATGAGTTCAGCAATCACACTCTCACTCTGAAGAAGGACAAGAACCAGCCACCTAAGTCCATCTACATCTGTGATGGGGACATCTTTAAGAAGTTGGACTCAGAACTCTCCCGGGCACAAGAGCAAACGCTGGACACCAGCTACGTCATTCTGCCTACCAACACGTCTACCTTACGGGCCAAACCGCCCAAAGACGAGAGCAAATACAGCATCAATATTGACCAGATGCCACAGACACGGCTCATCCACCTCAGTATGGCTACTGACCCAGGCTTTGTTGTCAAGAGTCCTCCACGGGAGCCTGTAACCATGACATGCAGCGAGGTGCAAGGTTCCCCCATGATACAACAGCAGCAGCAGCTGGCTCCACAAAATATCTCCAACGAGTCACAGATTCCCAACAGCCTGTGTGACACAGGTGACTCAGGGAACTCGGGTGTGGTGTCCAAAAGTGAGACCGTCTCCACCCTCTCCATGAGCTCATTGGAGGTGAGCATGTGAATTACTGTCTTGTTCTCAGACCAGAATGATGGCTTGCCCGCAATGCTGACCACACCAAGTGTTTCAGGAGAACTGCCTTAGGCCAAATGCAACCCACCATGCAGGGCCAGTTTTATATTGTCGTGAGGGATCAGTGGTATGTGATACCATTTTGTAATCTAGTATTTAAAATCCATCATGACTTCCACAGGCATGCTGCATTGCTGGGTGGACTCTCTTTAGCCCTGCAGGCAATGCAAAGTCCAATAAAAAAGTTAGTTTGTCAAAGACTATTCATTTTCATGCAAGGCACATGGCTTGCATTATCTTTTCTTCTATTCTCTGACTCTGTTTCCCATTTTGATGGCTTCAGTCATGATACAACCCTAGTGATGAGAAAACCTAATGAACATGGGGGTAAAATGTCCTAAGGCATGCCCCACAATGCTCTTATCATCAGAGGGATGTCAGAGGTTTTGCATAAAGTGCAGCCCTCCCCTTCTGACCTGTGATAACTCATTACATACATTAGCAGTTCTCCCTAGACTACAGAAATGATGTTGATATCTGTCCTAGTTTTTGCACTTCTTGACATCTGGCCCTTTTCTTGCCTATTTTCGTAGAGCAGGTCTCAGCCATTGCTGTCCAAACTCCAGACTTGGCCGACTGATGCTCAGAAACTCCAGTAGATGAGTTGGCTTAGCCTCTCTGCTTTCCATTCTCTGAACCACCTGCAAGCTCATAACTAGGACAGAGGCTTGAATTGGCCAAAATCCCATGCTCAGCCCTCCTTGGAACTCAATGGGTTTTGATAGGAATTGCTTTAGATGGATGGCACTTTCCATCATGAGAAACATGTTAAAGGTGTAGGAAAAAGGAAAGAAAGGTTCTTCTTCTTTTATCTGTCGTGTGGTTCAGTTTGTGCCCACTCACCAGCATCAACCCCTTACTAACCTTCACCCATCTCTTTTTCTTTTGAATACCCAGAGGCGGAAATCCCGGTACGCAGAGTTAGATTTTGAGGTGAGTACATCCCTTTCTGAATGTGTTTGTTGACAGGTGGGATAAGAAGGAGAAATGCTGCTTTCTTTTCTTTCTGGCACCTTTGCAGGAGTGCTGCCTTTGCCAAAGGGCTTCTTCAAGGGTTTAAAAATGGTGGTTTGCAAGAGTTGTGCTGGCTGCCTAGTGAGGTTTACCCTGTGCCGCTAAACAAATGGGTGATGCCGTGTGCTGAATTTATGGAGCAGCTTCTGTGTAAATGTTTGTAAATCAAGATCCTACATTGGTTTGCCCAAGGCCTGTAACTTCTCTGTGAGCGAAATGCGAAAATCATGGAAACACAGGATCTTTTAGGTTGGAAAAGACCTTTAAAATCATCAAGTCAACCATTAATGCATTGTCTTTTGTGCACAAGATGTGTTGCATAACAGAAGGGAAGCTAGGGTGTCCCCACTGTCACAACCCATCATCAACCCTGGTCTTTCACACCTATTAACCTCACAGAATCAGCCCGGGTGGAAATTTTTAGGGAAATGTCTGTCATCACACCTGAGGCACAGAGCGGAAAACTTTGAAAGACCCAATCCTCCACAAAGGATCCAGGGGACTATTGAGAGCCAGTGCAGCTATCCTGAGTCCAATCATGACATCCTTCCTGACAGAACTATCCTTCCCCTTCACAGCTGCTAGGTTATTCCAAAACAGGATCACTTTATGGGCCCACGAAGAGTTGCCTTAATGCTAGAATAATTTCAGAGCTCCAGATGGTGAGCTTTCTGTAAATGTGAGGCTCGAGGAGTATATTTAAGCTGATACTTCAAGTTGGTCCCCAACTATTTGAGCCACCTTCTGTGATTATATAGCACCTGACAGAGAACAAGACAGCCATATTCACCACATTTTTAATGCCAGGGGAAGTCCTGGTAGAAGTTGGTCCTGTCTCTCCTTCTGGGTGCTAGAAGGTAGAAGTGAAATGCAGAAGGGCCAAAATACAAAGAAAAGGTAATTGTGAAATAGTTTCTGATGGAACTTTTTGTACCCAAATCCTACACGTTTGAGTAAGCTCTGAACGTATTTGCCAAAGAAGCACGCTGAGAATAGTGTGGGCATGGGGTCAGTTACTAGTTAAAGAAGGTGATCAAAGCTTCCTACGCCTAGCTGTTAGAACATTGCCAGTCAAGCACAAATTCTGCAGCATAAACAAGTGGCAGTTGAAGGTTTAGGCTAACCATAAGGTCAAAAATTAGTCTTTTCCACTTTTTTCCCCCCATCTCATTCTGAAAATAAAGACAGTGCAACACTGGCTCCTCAGTGAATTTTGAAGGCGTGCCAGATTTAACCTGCAAGAAGACAGAGCTAGGTTTTAGTAATGTATGGAACTTTGGGGGGGGGGGGACATGTTATTTCTGCATAGTTGAAAAGGGTTTGCTGACCTGTGGCCCTTGCGTTTGCTGCAGAAAATCATGCACACAAGAAAACGTCACCAAGACATGTTCCAAGACCTGAACAGAAAACTCCAGCACGCAGAGAAGGAGAAGGAGTCTCCAACAACGGACAGCAAGGTTAGTCACACTTCCAGAACCACCATCTCCTAGAGCCCTCTAGTGCCAGCAGGAGCACAGGAAGAAGCAGAAAAATTTAGGAGCTCTCACTGGATAGTTTACCTTTTCATTTTCTGCCAGTGCATGTTGCAACAAACACGTGTTTATTTACAGAGTGGTCAGCAGCCCACAAGGAGAATGTCTGTCCTCGTGTCTGTTCATGGTGAATAGTCTGTGTTGTCTGCTTTCTATTTGTTCCTCATGTCTGTGTCTGTTCTTTACATTCCCTTTCAGGTTGTCTCCAAGTGCCCCATGCATCCACTCGTAGCTAGGAACTGGAACCTAGAACAGCCTTGAGGAAATCTAGGTGGAAAGGGGAGAGGGCAAAAGGTGGGAACACCAGGAATCATCTACCCCATCTGCAACTGGGGGGGCTGAGTTGGAGCCCAAGGCAGCAGTAGTGGACACAGCTGTCCAGGAAAGCCACAGCAGAGGGATTTAAGCTGTGATGGTGGCAGCACCTCTTGGGGACCGCATGCTAATTAAATGTAGCATGAGGGTATGTGTGACAGCTGATTACCATGTAAGTGGTTTTCCTCGACAGGAGCAAACTTCCAGGGAAAGAAGAGACTTTGAGGGAGGCAGGCTGAAGGGAAGACCTTGCAGCCTTTCAGTGAGGCAGAGATTTGGTACTAGAAACAGATAGCAGCAGCCTGTATAGTAAGTGATATGGATAACACAAGTAAGCAAGGGCAGGCTGATGACACCTCCCCTATATCTCAGCCCATTAGGCTTGCCAAAAGGTTGAAGGAAAGTGTTTCTGCTCCAGCAGAAGGGAAAAACAAGTGGCAGAGTCAAGTTGACGTTAAGAAATTAAGTTTGGATTGTGCCTGCACTTAGCAGAGGGCCAAGGTGAGCCCTTCATAACATTCGTGGTCATTTGTGAGCAAAGCCAGATCCAGGATGCAGTCACCAGCAGCATGGCCAACAAGGCACTAGCAGGGCTTATTTTGATAGGACTCCCTTAGAGACAAGATCAGGGTTCAGAGGGTGATTGAACGACAGATGTAGTTTGGTTTTTTGTGGAAGAGAGCACTGCAGAGCCTTTGGGCTGCATTCAGATCTCAGAGCGTTGCTGTGCTGACCTCCAGAGACGTGGTCTCAGCAAATCCTACTTTTATTGTGTGTGGCAGGGTGTCATTGTGGACTGTCCAGTGTTACAGCATGACAGGGATAGGGAATCTAGCAGGCAGGTTCAGATCAAAGAAGCCTGTGTTGGCCCAGAATCCAAATGCATTTCACTGTATTTCTCTCCACTTTTTTTTTCCTATTATTTAGGTATGAGGCAGCTGTAAAATCAGATATAGTTAAATACCATGTAAAAGCTAATCTGTGGCATGTCTGCAGGAGAGTTTTATAGATTGAGATGTTTTGGGCATTTCAGAGATAGATCTATCTAGAATTAAAGTTGCCAGTGTCAGCATGAAAGAGCTTTGAACTGCTGGAAAGAAGCCGTGAAGGTGGCCTTTGCATATTGACTGAATCTTTTTCAAGTTGTGATTTTCTTCAGATGTAGCCCGAGAGGGTGAGCTTGCGATGATCAGTATTGGCAAGTCAGTAGTGGGCACTGGTTTCGCAACATCCAAAGCAGTACAAAGAAAAATAAATAGCTTTCTTCACCCCTTTTTCTGCCATTTGCTTCTGGGGACCCCACTGGAAATCGTGATGCATCTTCAGCTTGCCTTGAGAAGGCAAACTGCGGATAGCAGGGATTAAAGTAACAACAAAAGAAATTTTTCTCTTTTATGTATGTTTAGGTTATAAAACGATGGAGTATTTCTTCTGGTGGAAGTGATAAAACTAACGTTAGCGTAAGTCTGGCTTTCATTTTGCATTGAAGAGCATTGTAGACCTATCCCAAACCCTTCCATGATGCATGAATCCAAACACATTCCTTCACCACTATGAAAGTCCTTGCCTTGTGGGCATGAACAAGGTCATAAGGATCCTGGAATACCCTTTCACACCTACCATCGTAGAGCAGAAGAGGCGTTTACTGGGTCTAGTCCACCTGCCTGAATTCTGACTCTTTGATTTCATTTTTAAATAAGCGATCACAAACTCAAGCTACCAAGTCTCTTTCCAGCCCTGGCAGTCTCCCATCCTCTCCTAGCAGCATGTCCCATTGTTCTTAGTCCTTTACAAGATACGATGCTTTTCCTAATCCTCTTGCTCTTCCTTTCTCCTCCTTCAACTCTAAGATCAGAAAGGTGCTGCTGATACTTGAACTAAATATCTGCATAGGACAGATCTCCTTTGGAAATTCCTAGGAATGCTGCTGGCCCTTTTTAGGAATTGGCTTGGGTTTTGGTCTGGATGTAAATTCTAATCCTCTCTGTACTTCAGTGCACTGCCCAAAACTCACTACCCTATCACACTAAATACATAGTTCCTCTCAGATGAACAACTAGATTGTCAGATTTGAAGGAAATGCCAACAGAATAATGGAAGAAACAGATGTTCTCTCTCATTAGGAAGAGGGTTGAAAATTCAACCATCACATGTGTTTACTGTTGAGAATTTCTCAGCTTCAGTGGTAAAACATGACTTTTAAGGGTTTTTCAACAAAGGCCTGAAGGTTTGTACCAGCACATCTATTCCTCCTCTCTTAAGTATTCTGACACATTTAAACTTTGGATAAGAATTACTGCAGTGTACATGTGAAAGATAAAGAAGACTGCCCTTTGCCCACTGTCCCAGAATAGTTACTGGTAGAGTGGGAAGTATAATCAGGGACTCTTGCATGTTGAGCTTTTCAGCTTTCCTCCTTTACAAGGCCCATTTCTGAAAGGCAGTACTGATGTGAGAATGACCCGATCCCCATCAAAGGCAGCCTTGGAAAATGCCTCTGGGCTTGTCTCTCATCCTGCAGATGTGGAGACAGATTTGGGGACAAATTCTGCCTTCCGCTCACCCAGCAGCCATGAAGTCCATCTCTGGGATCTCTCTTTTCCCTTGCACAGGGTGGAAGCATACACGTGATGCAAGGCAATGCTGCTAGCCATTGCATGTCAGTCTTCAAGATAAAATGTCTACAGCAGAGATCTGGAGCCTAATCCACATCCCACTGGGATTAGGGTGTCCCCACTGCCATCAGCTGACCTGTCATCAACTTACTAATGAGCAGTGTTGTTATGGCAGAGGTAGGCAATTAGGAGAACGAGAAAACTGCCTGGAATGCCAACCAATTCTGAGTACTGACTGTATTCAACCACTGTGGCACTGGTGTTTGCTGCAGTTACTTTGCTACGAACCAAAGCACACTGCTAATGCTGAACTAACTTGAGCCTCAGAGTACAATAATACAGAATTATCCTTCCTTGGGAAACAAACCTGGATTTTTCCATGTTTCTTTTTTCAGCTTATCACGTGAAACCTATTCCGTGTGACATCAACTTTCTCATGTATCTACCTCAATTATAAAATGCACCCATTGGAGTCACGCTCAGATATTCCTGATAAAAATCACATTGTCCAGGAGGATCCTTGCTCAAAACATACAATACCACACATCCACCTGCAGTCAAGCCTAGGCCACCTCACGGCTGCAGCAAAGGGGTCTCACTCATAGAATCATAGAATGGTGTGGGTTGGAAGGGACCTTAAAGATTTGTGGCTTTATGAACTAATCAGGGATGTAGACAGTATTGTACAAAGCTAACTTTTCAGTGCTAGGGAATTAAGATATTAGCAGAGTGACATACAGCAGGATATGGTGACTGCAAGTTTTTTAATACACTAATAGATCTCTGTATGACCATACCATGGGCTGTGGTAAATTTTCTCTCTCTTGCAGTCTTCAAGTTCAGATGAAACAAGGAAATGGAGATGAGTTTTAAAAAATCAGCCCTTGCTCAAAAGGAAGTTACAAGATTCTAGACAAGACTCCTTTGCTCCTGTTATGCTGGAATGTGGGACAAATTCTCCCTGTTCACATGAAGGGACTTTGAATCTAATAAGTATCTCAGCAACAGCTGGGTTTACTTCACTCATCCTCCTCCCAGATGACTTGCAGCCAGCCTATATGTGGAGAATCCACACTGTTTCTCTTCCATTTTATCCCAGACCAAACTCGAAGCTGGTGTAGACCCTGAGCAGAAAACTAAATGATCTGTGTTTGTTGAATATTTATCCCCTAGACAGCTTATTTGCAGCCAGGAAGCATGAAAGGAACCAAAGGCAACCACAGCAGGGTTTGCATCAAAAATGCAGCCATCCACACCACGCATCCTAAGTGCTTAAAATTAAAAACTCTCTCTGTGTCTGGGATCCACGAAGACTTAACTTTTAAGAAGTGAGTGACTTCTACCCGGATTGTAGATATGTCTTCATAGCAGCTTTGAGGCCAATTTTGCTGCTCAAGCGGATGCATATTGAAACGTTAGGTTGGTACTGACTCAGACAGCAGATACTTCCATCACTTTGAGTTGTCCTTTATCTACCTGATTGCTACAAACAAAAAAAAAATCCCATTGTTGGAAACCTCGCTACAAGTTTTTCTCTCTTTTAAGGTCTGCCCTTTGCCTGGCAGACTGTAGACTCCAACATGCAATTTTTTCCTCTGCTTCCTCCTAAATACACACACCTCCCAAGGTCTGTATTCTTGCAGCTGAGAGCTCTTCACATTAAAGGAGGGTAGTGACTATTTTCAAGCTACTTTGTACCACATGGGAAATATTTTCCTCTGTAGATCCGTATTATCAGGGTAAAGCATCTCCAACACTACTCTTCCCTATAAGTTAATTGCTAAAGAAATTCCAGTGCTTGGGCTGGGCATCGGGAGGGCTTCACGAGCTCTGCAACAGCATGGTATGAAAGCGGAGGCTTTGCAGCCTTTAAATGAAGCGAAGGCTTTGTTTCTTCTACGCTTAGCGCCAGCTTTGAAAGCCATAGAAGTGACACTCCTGCCTTCCCCCTCTGCAGGAGTCCTTTGATCCAGCTCCATTAGGGAAGTTTGAATC